ACACCGAGTTCATCTGGTCCTCGTGCCGAATGAGAAGCTGTCCCATGAGCCTGCACAGTTTGTTCAACTGTGGAGGATCTTCGTCCCTGGTCGAGGACGTCGAGCTGTTCGTCCTTGGGGATGATGCTAAGCTGGCTCTCCGTCGAGATGGCTGCAGAGGCGTGGTCTCCTTCCTTTTCCTCTTTTCCTGCGGGAGTTCCAGATCCAGGTCGTCCGGTGACGCGAGCATATTTAAGAATGCCCTGCCCACCTGTGTCACACGGTCGCCGTCTTGGATTTGCATCATTTCGTCCATCATGAAGATCTGGTCGAAGCCAAGCAACAGCACAACCAAGGTTCAGGAGAGAGGAACACTGATGTTCCACTCTAGACCAAGCACTCTCATCCAAGAGACTGTAGTTCTTGGCAGTGTTGCCACACCATGAACAAGGCAGGGTATCAGCCAACGCCGGTCGTTGAGCCAAGAGATATCGAAGCATGGCATGAAGGAGAAACCCACAGCTGCTGCTATGAGTCCGATGAGTTTGAGTCAGGTGGTCAAACAACTGATCTGACTTCTCAAAGGTCCGAGAGCACAGGATGCACGAGTGGCTGAGTACCTGGCAGTGTCGCATCATGAAGGTCCATGAAGATCGATCTGGATGCAGCAGCCATTGGCCCAGTTCGGGAACCTGTGCATGGAGCAGGGTGTGAAGCTGAATCAATTGCTGAACCGAGGCCTCAGTGGGAGCCCATGGCAACATCAGTCTTCGATGATGAGGGTCACATAAGTGTTGGAGCATTGCCATCTGTCGATGGGCCGGACATCTGTGGGAGCGTGGTTGTGGAACACGACAAGGATTGCAAACACATGAGAGGCGAGCTTCATCGATCATGTTGGAGGTGAGATCAGCCGCTCTGAAAAACCCTCCGTGGTGACATTGCAAATGTCTGATCAGGTCAGCTGTTCTGGCATAAGCTTGTCCGCAGAACGAGCAAGTCATTGTCAGCTTGTGTCTCATAGACGAATCCTGCAGCGCTTCCGCCCATTTCCCGGCCTTGATCTGGTCCATGAAGATGTCATCCAGGCGGAGGACGGTGCCCGGCTCCTGATCACCCATTGGATCCAGGTGGTCACAGGATCCTCGATCAATGTGTCGTCGTAACTCCCATTGTTCCCCAAAGTGGCTGCGGCAGTGTCGGCATACGGTGGTGCCATGGACAGTGTCCCTGATGCAACAGAACCTGGAGTGATCTTCCCGTAAGTGGCGTTCAAGAGCAGTGTCAGAAGAGAAGATCTCTGCGCAGTGAACACAGAGATGATCAGCCAGGTCCTGGTCATCCTCAATTGGATATGCATGGGAAGCAGGAGCATCAGCCAGATGGCAAAGCCACTGATGGAGTACCGAGGCCTGCAGGAGGATCTTGCACTGATGAGAAGTCTTATAGTCATGTTGGCAAACATTGCATGGGGACCTCCGAGCGGTAGCCCATTTGGAGTATGGTGTT